GGGCAATATGCTGACTCTGTAAACCGCTTAGAGAGGGCTGAAAGCCCTATGAAGCGGTATATAAGTCTAACTGCTATTACTATTACTATTGCTATAGCTTCTCTGCTATGGCATTTGCTGTATGAAGCATTTTTGTGCCCCAAAATTAGAATAGCTCCATCTCTCTTGATATTTCAGAGAGCCTCAAAACTTAGTTATGTTATCTGGTCTTGGGCTCCCCGGAACCTGGGGACATGCTTAGATAGCTCCATTGCTGAGCTAGCTAGATTTATTCCCTTTCCCCCTTTGCTGTTAATGTGATTTTTATATCTTTTATATTTATGTTTTTATATGTGGTTTTACCCTTTGAGCATGCTGCCCAGGGTTACTTTCAGTGACATGGGAGGCTATATAAATTTATATATATATTTGATTAATCAATAAAATGTTTATTCAGATAATTGAACCTTTCCTAACCCTAACCCCTTTCTTAGAAGAATGAGATGGGCAGTTTCTAAATTTGATAAATACATAGAAAATAAACCAAATCAAGCGGCAGAAATCATGCCAGAATCGATGGATGTAGGCAGCTATAGTATTTTACATAATTATTATATTATAAATAATAATAGAGTGGAAAATAACAGTTATATCCAAGAAGATTAACAGATAAAAAGGTCAAATTGCATACTACAGGCAGAACCTCCAATTTTAGTCAGACCAGAACTCTTTCTAGCAATCGATCAATGGAGAAACTGCAGTGAACCTGTCAACATCTGACAAAGAAGAAATAGTGCATCTATGGCAACAGTAATGGGGCAATCCAAAGAAATAGAAGTAGAATGTAGCCTGGCTTAAAAAAAAAAGTCAAGGAAGATCAAGAACTCTGATCAACATCGGGTGGAAATGAACTGCTTGGATTTTGGTTGAAACATCCAACTGGTCTATACCCACTCATTGCCAAGCATTTTAGCAATATAGTTCAAGGAGATGAAATTGGAGATTGGTTAATATCTAGCAAAAGTTGCCTGCTTATGAGAGTTCCAATAAAACGTGCAACACCAAGCAACTACAAGAAACTTGCAGTATTTTCAGATGCACCTTTTATGCCATGTTGCAAATAAAAAGCATGATGCATTCAGTGAAGTGGAATGTAATATGTGAAAGTTATTCCTATAGTAATTCTTTTAAGTCATTGAGGTTTTTAAACTAACTCTATTCTAGTATTTACATTGGAGAATAGACTGTTTTCACTAAGACATAGATGATTGAATAGACTAGCAAGCAAACCCTAGAATATAGCACCGTTGTGATCATTTTCAAGTTGTTGTTATTCTTAATTGAATTATGTTCTTATCATTTTATTAAAATTATCGCATCCTTAAACGGGCAGCTAAATATTTACCAATGTTTAAATGTTTAATATTGACCAGTGCTATCAGTTGCTATTAATTTTCAAATGACTTTTGTTTTGTTTATTTAAAAAGTTTTCAATAAAATAATTTTTGAACTGAAAATAAGAATAGGGAAAAGTAATAATAAAGTGAAAAAGAAATAAAGCAAAAAAACCCCATAAAGAAGTAGGTCCTGATCTTTTTAACAGTATAGTCCATTTATTTTTACACTTTCTGAGGTTGTATAAATTTTCCAATGTATTTTGGAGATAGCAAATAGAGATGATTTTTCTGGAATTGAAACATTGTTCTGTTTTGGAACAGGTTCAGAATAAGCTGCCTCAGAAGACTGGAGATTTAATGCCTGCAGATGCAGAACAGGATCCTTTAGAAAGTGAAGGTCCTATAATGCAAGATGCAAAAGATGGAGAGACATCAGTAACTGAGAGTGTGGAGAACAAGAAGGATGGAGTTTGTGGGTAAGAAATTGGAAACTAAAGCTGTTGTTGTTAACAGAAGTGTGCTGATCTATACTGGTATTAGCCCTTTGGGGTGAGAAAATAGTTGGATATCTGAGACATCTAAGGAAAACTCCGAGATCACAATAGATTTCATAGAATTATTGATATGTTCTTAATGTCTAGCCTTTTGAAAATCATGTAGTTTTCTGCTAAGAAAACAAAGAATATTTAAAATTCTCTTGATGGTGCAAGATATGCTATATGCCTGAGAATAAAATCGCGAAAAGTGTATACAAAACACATACCGTAATAATTGGAATGATTTAACCAAACAGTGAATACACTTTACTTACCACATTGAACCACAATTTGTTTTACCTGGATGTCTGAACCATATCTGGCTAATACCTTAGATGTTAGTCTCTTGCTCATTCCAAAATAATGCAGAACAAGAGGAATTAAGAAAGTCACCATTCTTCCGTCTAAAACCCTTCTCTTCAGTTACCTGGCAACCATCCTCTTTCCACCACTAACTACTCCATAGCATAAGGTAAAGGTGAAGCTCTCTGAATCTCCAAACATCAAACATTTAACCACATAGCAAACAAGTCAACTGCTTATATTTATAATTTATATCATCATAAAATATATACATTTATAGTATCAGTAATATACATGGTACCGTAGTAAACATACAACCTGTATAAAAATGGGTCAGGCACAGGGCAATACATATAACAGATGGTAATAGTGAACATGTCATTGAATGTTTCTGGAGTTTCAATTAAGCTGTGGTGGTTGTAAACATGGGTGTTGGTCACAGACTTACTCTTTTATCACTGTTATAACTAAAAATATCCAGGGTAGTCATTAAATGAGGATTACTTATATATGAACATGGCCAAAGTATAAAATGAAATATTCAGAACATTTCAGTACAGGTAGTCCATGTTTAAAAATGGTAATTGTTAAAGAGCTGTGTTGGCGTTGTGGTTAGAATACAGTACTGCAGGCTACTTTGATGGATTTAGGGGTCAGTCATCACAGAGGGTTCATTCCAAAATGCATCCCTCCCTTTGGAGAGTTTATTCTTTTTATACAGTTTTTACAAGCAAAGCAATGAGCATATAGCAACAGGATTATTATTGGCTTATTCTCCTTGTCAATCTCTAAGAACATCCCACCCAGGATAGAACCTCAGATAACTCAATAATTCCTGGTAGTGCCTGTTGTTGTTAATTAGGAGAGCACATAGGTTAAGAGGTAACCAGCCACTGAGATCATGGCAGTGTGCTGCGCATGCCTTTATGTAACCTTTCCTCTATTCCTACACTACTTCTACCAGTTGCCAGCAGTTCGGCAGTTTGATTCTCACAGGCTCAAGGTTGACTCAGGCTTCCATCCTTCCAAGGTGGATAAAATGAGGACCCAGATTGTTGGGGGCGATATGCTGACTCTATAAACCATTAGACAGGGCTGTGAAGTACTGTGAAGCAATATANGTGTTAGCTTGGCAGGCTGGATTGCTGCCAAGGCTTGTCTGTGCTGGTTTGCTGCCAAGGACCTGCCTGTCTTTTAATAAATTCCTTAAAATATCTTTGGCTCGGTGTGCTTTGGTGTGGGACGAGGGGGGCTCAGAACACAATTCTATCTCTGTACTCTATAAACACTGGCTTTTTTCCATTTTTGTGTTTTAGCCCTTCCAACTCCAAGATTATCTATGTGGGACAAAAGACCACCATTACCTTTGAGAGCCACACGGTTACGGCGGATAGCCATGATAGCATTTTGTATGTCAATTTCAGAGGCCGCGGAGCTCACTAGAACTTCCTCAAAGTCCACAGGGACACAGGCATGCCTATGGCAGAGAAAGAGAGAAATCTGGGCCAAACATTCCAGAGAAAATGGAAACCTCCAGCATTAGCAGGGTGAATGATCAGAGTTAGGCTGACTTTGTTTTAGGCACAGCTCCAGAAAAGAAAGAAACCATACCGGAACAATTCTCTGACATGAAGCATGAGCTCTGGCCCAATCCCATCTCCTGGGATCATGGTCACAGTATGGCGACCTCCATACTTGGCTGGGGGAGGCTACAAAGAGAGAGAAAGAGAGAGAGAAGGGATGATTTCAAGCAATCCAATCGTTCATAGTCTTCTCAAAGAATCTGCATGATTGAGCATCATCATCATCATCAATCCATCAAAAAAAAGGGGGGGTAATCAAAGCTTTTCCTGTGGTTATCCATTGCAGAGGGGACGGACCAGTGGTAGGATTCAGCCAGTTCGCACCTATTTGTGAGAACCGGTTGGTAATTTTCTAAGTAGCTCAGAGAACCGATTGGTGGAAGAAATCTCCTTTTGTTTTTTCCCGATTACAGGGCTAATCCTGTAAGGAAGGCAGGAAGGAAACATTCT